CCATGGTGACCATGGTGGAGCAGGCTGTCCCCCTGCAGCCCATGGTGACCGTGGTGGAGCAGGCTGTCCCCCTGCAGCCCATGGTGACCATGGTGGAGCAGGGCTGTCCCCCTGCAGCCCATGGTGACCATGGTGGAGCAGGCTGTCCCCCTGCAGCCCATGGTGACCATGGTGGAGCAGGTTGTCCCCCTGCAGTCCATGGTGACCATGGTGGAGCAGGCTGTCCCCCTGCAGTCCATCGTGACCATGGTGGAGCAGGCTGTCCCCCTGCAGCCCATGGTGACCATGGTGACACAGCTGTCCCCCTGTAGCCCATGGCGTCCACAGAAGGTGCAGAGATCCAACCGCAGCCCGTGGAGGAGGGAGGTCCCCACGCCGGAGCGGGCGGATGTCGAGAAGGGGCCGTGTCCAGCAGGAGAGCCATGGAGAGAGAGGCCTTGCTCCCGAGATGGAACAGCCTGGCCTTRGGCCTGCACCCAGGGGACGAGGGACCCACAGTGCAGCAGTTTTGGGATGACTGTGTGCCCGTGGGGGGACTCACGATGCAGCAGATGTGTGTGGACTGCTGCTCGTGAGAGTGGAACCGCACTAGAGAGGTTCACACTGAACTGTCTCCCGTGGGAGGGACCCCATGGCAACGCAAGGGAAGGATCCTCTCCCTCAGCAGCCGCAGATCGATCTGGTGATGAACTGACCAACCCCACACCCTGAACTGACCAACCCCACACCCTGAACTGACCAACCCCACACCCTGAACTGAGCAACCCCACACCCTGAACTGACCAACCCCACACCCTGAACTGAGCAACCCCACACCCTGTTCACCCYGCCCTGTTGGTGGGAAGGAGGGAGGGARTGGGGAGAAGATTGGTGTCTTTGAGGGTTTTATTTAATTTCTTCTCCTCTGATTTTGTGAGTAATGAATCCACTTTGTAACTTAAGTGGAGCCTGTTTTGTCCATCAAAGTGCTTCCTCCCTATTCCTCATCTCAATTCATGAACMTTTTTTTGCTGATTTCTTTTTCCTCTTCACTCTTCTCTGCCCAGTGGTGAAAAGCAAGTGAGCAGGTGTTGTGGGTACCTGGCTTTCTAAATCTCGACAGTAAAGAACCTTTTCCTAACATCCAACCTAAACCTGCCTCAATTCAGCTTCAGGCTGTTTTTGTGGGTCCTGTCACTTGTGACCACAGAGAAGAGAACAGTGTCTGCCCCTCATGATGAAGTTACAACCTCAGCCACTCCTCATACAGTTTCCACTAGTTGGCCAAGGCTTGATCTTGGTGAGACAAGAGCTGTCAGTGAGAAACCCAGAAAGAAATCAGTGTCTGGGCCTGTATAATACTACAGCTGCAAAATGAGAGAGGTCTGTATCAGCTACATGGAGAAATTAGGTGTTGGGAGGTCACAGCTGGAAATGCAGTACAAGCTCATGGAGCATACAGTGTCTGAGTTCACTTGACTGTGGGAATTATAGCTGCTATTCATTATCTTTCGCTAAGGCTGCAGAAAGCCTGTCCCTTCTGCAGTCAGATTGATCCACTTGATGCATTAATATTTCTTCTGAGTCAGAAAAGGAGTTACAAACCTGATTCCATCAGACTGGGATATGGAGGCATTGCTGGAAGAGTTTTGGCATGGCAAAGCTTATTAGGAAAGTGTATGTGAATCTGTCTCAGAGTAACTGTTACACTGCACCTCAGGATGCGGTGTCTAGTGAATTTGCATAATCTTGAGAAATACTGAAATTCAAARCCATGTTCCTAAGAATTGCTCTTTTCCTCCATAGTCTAAATAAAACCATATAGCATTGTGCTGTACTTTAAATTTCTTAAATGCTTATGGGGTCACAGTGGCTAAGTGCCTCATTACAAATAATGTTATCCTTGGAAAAAGTTTAATTCCAATGGTTCAGCAAAACTGAAGTGAATCACTTAAGAAAATATCATACAGAATAATTTCTGAATGATTTTTTCACCTAAGATAGTACTACAGGCACCCCTGGCAAAGCTCATATATTTAATTTTGACCAGTTTTGCTAAAGATACTCGAAACAGCACAAAGTCATTCAGCCTACTTTATCAAGAATGAGTGTTCATCACCCAAATTGTTTCTCCTGGTATATACTATTTATACATTTACATCTTTGCTGAAGATTTAGAGACACCAATTCCCTTAGGGAAAGTACATTTTGGACATGATTCATACATATTACAAAAACATTTATCTATAGTCTAAAGGAGAGCATTACTAAGCTGGAAATTTTAACATTGTTATTCAAAGGAATTGAGCATAGTATTGAATTCAGAAGAATGTTTTATTAATTTAGTGTGTTCCCATCATATACACTATCCCAATCCTTCTTACTTGGGTTATTGAATATTTAATACTCAATAAAGCTCCTTTGCTGTGAATTCAATGACTTTTTTATTAATATTTCTGTGTAATAATATGGCTCTTACTGTTGCTTCATATAATTAACAACAAGGATAAACTTGACCATCTTTGGCGGCAATCTAGCACTTCAGATTTTATAAGCGACATCTGTAATTTAAGCTTTGTTCAGAAATTGAACAGTAATGYACTGTTTGTTGTAGAATATTACATGTAATCTGACAGATAATTTATGTAAAATAGTGAAGAACAGACTGCTTATAACTGTTGCATTGCAAAGAGATAGATTGTGGTCTTCTATGAGAATTTCTGCCATGCTGACACACAGAGAAAAATTTCAAGAGTTAGTTTGCCTTTAATAATACCTTTATTATTTTTAATGGTTGATGGGATGTCTTTCAATTCCTTATGAAGCATTCTGTGTAGAACTAGTGATATGATTTTATAGTAAGTTGGCTCTTCATGYTGTAAAGAAGCTAGGATAAGCTACTTTACCCCAAGGGCAGGCAGAGGAGAAACTTTGATTGCTGAGGAGGGTGAGGAATTTGATATTGGACAGCATCAAGAGCACCTTTCTCATACAGATTAATGCAGAGCTGCAGTCAATGGGGGAGGAAMGTGAATCAATGAGGTACTCATTCACTGCCACTTTCTGCTCACAAGTGGTACTGGGAAGCAGAACACACAGTGGTTAATCAGCTCTGCTCAGCTCTCTAACGCGAACCGTGCATACAAGCAAGTAGGAAGTTACACAGTTGAATTTCTCACTTGTGTATGGCAATAAAGATCTTGTATTTAGCAATTAACAAACCTGAATAGTTCAATTATCTTAATTTTATGCATGTTAATGGTACTATTTCCTACTGCACAATTTGCTGTATCCTCATCTGTGTTTATATTTTGGGACTTTCACCCTTTCTCTGAAGGCGCACTCTTGTTGGTTCAGTCAGCACCAGTGGCTCTTGTATAATGGTTGCTGGATAATTTTTGCCTAAAAGTTCAACTTCCAATTTCTGTCCAACTTTGCTGACTTCCATGGGAACATATGCAAAAGCCAGACTCTGCTGAGCACCATAGCTGAAACATCCAGATGTGGTATTGCCAATAACCTGAAATAAAGCAAAACCAATTGTATTTATTTCAAGATGCAGAGAGATTTTATAAAAAAWACCCCACCAACCAACAACCCAAACAACTAGACACCTCATTTGGTTTATACATTTCAGACATCAAGCAAGTTTCAAGAGTRTCATGCAGTTCATAATATTCTCAACAGAGAGTAACATCACCTGAAACCAGGAAGCTTTTGCTCCTTGGAAAAATAGTCTATTCTTACGTGCTCAGTGAAGTTTCCACTGGAACATACACACATATATGCAAATGTTTATTATCTACAACAATTTAACTGCTAGTGAGTATTTCAACACATAAGCTGTGCTGAAGTGTGGAAGCCCGAACTTTGCTGTTATTTCATTTCTTTTAAGTAAGTAGCAAAAATACTATTAGGGCAATTGTGCTCTTGCAGAAGAGGAGAACGGATGACAATACTTTAGTCTGTTCCCTGAAACCCTAGTTTCAGTGACCTACTAGCACTTCACTTTCTCTCTGTATGTATTTMGTTAATCTTTACTTGTTGCTTGAAGGAAAGATTACCCTAGTTTCAAATCTGTGCCAGTAAAATAGAAATAATGCATTCACACTATAAACACAAAGATACTGTTCATGGCGAATTAACACTGATTTTTTGTAACATGAACTATAGTCTTTACCTTGCCATTATGCCACACACTTTCATTTCCCTCTGGATCAACATTATCTGTTTCCACAGTGAGATATACCAGTCGTCGTTTGAGCCCCTTTTCTTTAATATGCTTCAGTGCTTGTTTTCCTGTAAAATCTGCTGCCTGAAAAAATACAAGATAATGATATATGTTCATTTGGGTTCCCCCAAATGTTTAGAGATATAAACATTTGAATTTATCTTAATGTGTTTTCYTGTCACTTAAGTATTTTTAATGAAATGTAGATGAAATGAAATCTTTGTATCTTGGTATTTTTATACTGGTATATTATATCTTGGCAACTTTATTCCGTATAATCATTTTCCTAGATCTCAGCTTTTAATATCAATAATTCCAACATTAGTTTAAACACAGACACAGTGAGACATGCTACAAGACTATCTGCCCACTTAAGGTTGTAAGCCACAAGACTATATCATTTCAGTGTCTATGACAAAGAAGTCAATTCCAATACCCTAATCCCAAAGTCTGTGCCTTGCTCCACCAACACACTTCCTTTTGACGCCATCATCACCTTATACAGTAACCGATCAGTGTTCCACTTTGATGTCTATGCCAGGCTGCAGGGCTGGCAGTTGACTCCATATTCTTATTTTAAGGTAGGTATGTTTTGTCCCCTGTATCTACAATTTTATGGGATAATGCAGCATGTTTTGTAAAGAATAATATTATTTTCTGGAGCTCCCTTTTTCAGTTTGCTTAGAAAGGCAGCAGATYCTTGTATTTCCAGAAGCAGACTGCACAAATGTGTGACAAGTATGGGGGTAGTCACTGGCAAGTCTCCAAACCYTCAGGGGTATATAGGACAGTATTAGTGTGCATGACCTCACTGAGCTGATTCCACTAGCCTGATTCTATCACAGAAGTATTTAGGTTGGAAAGGACCTCTAAGTCATTGAGTGCAATCTTTGACCAATCACTGCCTTGTCAACTACAGCACAGCATGAAGTGCTATGTCCAGCGGTTTCTTCAACATCTTCAGGGATGGTGACTCCACCACCTGCCTGGATAGTCCCTTCCAATGCTTAACAGCCCTTTCCATGATGAAATTCTTCATGACGTTCATTTTTTCTCCTATGGCATAGATCAGACAGAACACAAGAATTCTATTCAGCTAAAATGCCAGATGTACACCAGCCTGCTCTATGGGCAGAAACACAATAGCAGTTACGAAGTCCTCTAGCTTTCCAGCCTTTGCTTCACTAGCAGTGAAACTAATTTTAAGGGAGTTGATCTTAGGTCTGAGGCAGGAATTATATTCATTTGATAAGTGCTTATGAGAAAAAAAAATGTTAAAGACTTCAAATTATTATTTCAGGTAATGTTCTTTAACTTCACTAGAGAATTATTGCACTGTCAGAATTACAAACAACACATACTTGGAATAAATATACAGTTAGTTCATGTGCTCTTGTAGTTCTTCAGGTTCACCAAAGTCTGTGTGTAGCCTCAGAAGAAATTATTAAAGCAGTGAAGAGTTTTTGCACTATGAAAGGCTAGGCTCTGTAAGCACTTGTGAAAAACAGCTTACAAACCAGTTAAGGAGCAGTTAGTCTGAAAATCAAGGTGATTCAAGTGGGGATAAAGCAGATACTGCACATAAGGATCAGAGAYGGGGAAAGAAAGCGTGAAATACAGCTCAGATCAGAAAAAAGACTGAGAAATCATTTCAGAATATAATGTGTAAATGTTGCTGCAAAATATAAAGCAAAGATCTCACACCAGACAACAACCAGCTACGGGTTGTTCTCTCACAATTTTCTGCTACATGGGGCCTCCAATTCTAGGAAATACCTACAACTAGAAATGCAAATAAGACTCTACACCATAGCATGACTCACAGACTGTATATGTAGATACAGAAACACATGCATGCATACGTGCATACATACATACATACATACTTGAACACTATAAGAACATGTATGAAAATGTATGTGTGAAAATACATGTGTATATATAATGTACAACTGCAAAAAGAAGGGTTTCTATATACATTTTTAAACATTTAAAGCACCTTCCTAAATTCTTACTACAGGAATCCAACTAATTCAGTCTACTTCTTTTAAGATTAATTGTGCACTAATTTATTTCCACCATTATTCATTTTTTCAATTGTAAGTGTATGTGCATGGGGTCATCCATTTCCATCAAAACCGAATATGGAAGCTGATGCATTCAACCTCAGTCTGACTATTTTTGGTAACAAATGCTTCCTCTTTCTAGGAGAAAAACAGTCAGTTTACATATCACTTCTATTTGTTTAATGCAAAGAAAACCTATTCAAACCAGTATCATCCAATGAATGAATATTTAAAACAAATCCAACAGAAGAAAAAGAAGATAAACAAATGAAAACACTAAACAGTTCACTGTCTGAGTTTAAAAAAAGACTTGACATGTCGGAACAATATAAAATGTTAATACTATTTAAAGTAAAGACAGTCCTAAAGAGCTAAGCTTAAAATACAGAAGACTTTCCATTATCTGGGCATGAGTTCCTGAAGCATTAATCTTTGGCAGATGTAATGGTTTTCACATAAAATAAAAACACTTCTTAGACACCAAAGATAAAGATGATATCTACTGCTTAGCTTTATTTAACTTGAGTGCAGTTCACCAGATAAAAAGATGGGCTGTTACTTTTCACTTGTGTGTTAGATAACACACTGATTAAAATRAAATATCATATCGCAAAGACAAATCAGTTAATTTTTTTAATAGCATAAAGGGACACCACTGATTATTTAATCTGTTAACATACTGTACATTTATATTTGCCTTACACCTCTTATCAGGCTTTTATTTTGTGTTAGCTGCCATGTATTTGATAGCCCAAGATAAACCCGCTGCTTGTTAAAAAGAGCTTAGGAGAGAATAACCAATGAGAAGAATTTTCATGCACAGTGAGATACCTTGAAGAGTTTAACTTACTGTGTTTCAAATGTACCTGGCTTTCAATGGCACCCCAATCCTAATTCTAATTGTCCGTAAAACATTTTCTAGTTTAAGGGAAGCAAAGGAATAGAAATTATCTATAAACCTTTCAAAAACTCTTTTTTTTTTTTTACACTGTGCAGTTTATCAAAATAAAGTAACCAAAAAGAAATATGCTATATCTGTTCTACAATAACTCACAGCAAAGATATACAACTCTCTCAACAAGGAGCTATGGTAATTTATTTAGTAAACCACTTAGGACTGTGGGCATAGAGCCAAATTATGAACAAAAAATCACCCAACTGAGTAAAGTAGCACCAATAGCTGCTGTGATCTGCTATAATCATAATGTTACAACACTCTGGAGACAGTCTCTWTACACTATTTTGAAATTTTTCTTAGCTAGATGCTCTTGAAATATTTCAGGGTAACACTCCAAATTATATCTGCCTCACCAGCCTGATAAATGAAGACAATTTTTCTTCTTGGGGAGCAAATATTTGACAAGTTTCTTTTTTTTTTTTTTTGTAGCAAATCAAAGCTACAGCTTACACCACACAAAACAGTTTTCTAAAGAAGATGGTCATTCTGTATGTATGGGACCTGCACCACTGCATCTTTTATTCAATCTATCTAAACCCTTCTTGTATGCAGTAAGCTGTAGGAAATTGATATGGTACAAACAACTGTTGAATTACTGAATTATTCTGGCTCAAAAATCCCTGTCTTAGTGGTGCTTATTCCTTTACATCACCCAACAAACACACAAGAAGTCACCCAAATGTGCATTTTATACAGACAACAAAACCTTTGCAGGTTCTTTCTAACGTGTTTCCTAACCAGTATAAATTTATGGAATAAATCCTCTGTTTTCTAAACCTCTGGACACCAAATGAAGTCATGATAGAACATGGTTCCACTCTTAAATTTCAATTTGAATGGGGATGGGACTTAGGTGGAAAAGTACACTGCATTAATATGKTACAGGTATAATAAATGGGGACTGGGGGGGAATATACCACACCCCATCTCAAATTTCATATCCATCACTCCATCCTTTTCCTATCCCCAAGYTCCTTAGCCCTTCTTCAGTAAAGCCTCTGCTCTTTCTTCTTCCTCCTCTTCCTTTTCTTGTGTCAAGTAGAGCTGGCATAAAGCACAACCTTATTCCAGGCTAGGGAGTGGGGTCAGTGAGCACTGATGTAGTCATTCCTCTCAGAACAAAAGGGATGCAAGCTGGAGAAGTGAAGCAAGGGCAGACAACGGCAATCAGGGGGATATGCAGCTGAGGGATGGCTTTGGCAGAGTGGCCAGGATGGAAACAAATAACTAGAAAGAGGAAGGCATAAAACTGGAAGCGTAAGCCTGTTGCTAAAGGAATAAAAGGGTGGAGGTGCGTCCTTAAAACTGCTCATCCGAGATCCTGAGAGATAACATCTTATGTATTGTTATGTTGGAGGTGAGGTCTATACTCAAGGACTGTATCTTGTTGTTCACTTACCTATGTGAAGCTGATGGGAAAAACCTTCTATTCATAATGCATTCCAAAGCAATTAAGCACTCATAGGTGCAATAGTAAAAGATATTAAAAGTCAGAGTGGTAGCCTGAGARGTGCACTTTGACTAGGACATTCAGCAGTCATTGAGCAGGGTTGGAGGAGATGAAATGTGATCAGTGATAAGCAGACATGGAAAGGAGAAAGAAGCAAAGGAAAAGGTTTTAGGTTGCAACTCAAATAGAAAAAAAAGAAAAAAAAAAGGAAGAAAAAGAAGTGGTAGAATAGATCTAAGGAAAAAGAAATTCTGGATATACAAAAATCTGTAAGGAAGTTTGTAATTGGGAACAAAAAACTTGGCTCAGTAAAATAAAGCAGGCTGACACAAACAAACACTGCCTCAGAAAACAATAGTTTCTCCTAGTGGAAACACACAAAATACTATTTAAGCACTCATATGCTAGCCTGCAAGAGCACATTAGAGCAGAATTCCTAAGAGTTTCCATAATGTACTGCACTCCCTCCCTAARCCGCCGTACTGTTCCCAAGTCTCTGTTGCTGCAGCGAGCGTGACCAGGAGATGGCAGTCCTGGATTCAGCAACACAAGCACAAGCCCACAAACAGCCAACTGCGGACTTGCAGCTYCTGATGAATGTTGTCACTATTACATTCACAAGAAAAATCTTCTGAAAGAGTTAATTTCTGTGAGCTGTTTGGGTTAGAGAGGTGTTTCCGTTAGAGAGGTTTCCCACTCCAACACCAAGTTTCATAGGCATATCTGGTCCATTACGGTCAGGAGAAAAATAAAGCTATTTTAAGCATTCAGAGGTGATACACCACATCTTTGAGCACTCAAAAACCTGTGAAAGTGCAAATGTGCAGAACAGTATTCTTGGATGTGAACCAAAAAGTATTACAGATTTTTTTCCTTAAAGATATTCTGTGTATTTCTTAGCACAGAGACTAACATTAGGACTGTCCAATATTTAGTAGCAGAGTGCTTATTAATGAGATAAGGCTATCTAACAATTTATTTACCTTGCTAAATGTAATTGAGTAGCCAAAAGAAAGACAATAGATATTTTTTAAAAATCCCATCCCTAAACTGGAATTTTGTTGTGGAGTTATGAAAGCATTTTATACTCTAAGTTATAAATTAATCCTGTTAGTGTCTCTCCACTTCAGCTTAATCGCAGTCCATCCTCCTCATCTGTGCAAGGAAGCAGCTAACAGTGACATTAGTGAAAAAGGGATTATCAAGCAGAGTCTAGATGAAATCACCTAGAACTATGCCATCTCCTCAGACTTACTGACAAAATGAAAATTGCCACAGAAACCCTGAGGAAATGGGTTTACTTATTGCCATGTTATAATTTAATATCCTGTGATRGAAAAAAAAGTCATCTTAAATTCTAAGTTTTTCTATTATTCATCACATAGAAATTACTGGTCCGTTAGTACATGAAGATGATGTATACACTAAACTTTCTAAACACAGAGACTATCAGGATTTTATGAGGACTTTATATCACTTCATATATATTCCCCAGATACTTGAACACCCTCTTGTAGAAATGAAAAATTCTTTTTGATTGCATTACCTTTGCTGGCATCTGGCTCTTCATTTGTTTTAATCTGTTTAGAAACTGTTTTTGTTTTCCATGGCATACGACTAGAGATTCACTTATGCTCAAATCTTTTCACAACAGTTTTGTGAGCTATTTCAGCTGCTTGTTGCACAGTAAGAAGCATTCTAGTAATTAACTGAGCAGTGCCTTTTAGTTCTAATTTACACAGAAATCGGCCATTTCCCCAGTTGGGGGCGCATGTCTRAAGGACTAATCCTGATGAGGAACTGAACAGACCAAAATGTCAAAAAGAAATATTTAAGTATCTGTTGCTTGTAGTTTTTATCTCGTTTGCCCATTTTTGAGGGGAAAGTTCCCATAAAATAGAAACAGATAAAAAAGTGTATTTTGCTTGTCTTCAGTCAGCGCAGAGTTTAAAGAATGATGAGGTCTGTGCTGCGCCAAATGCACAGCAAAACCACAGGCATGGAACTCAGAATCAAACTGCCCAGAAACTGAGCAAATAATCTCACACTGCATTTCATGCTACAGTGTTTAGAGTGCTTCCAATAGCTGAATTAGCTCAGGTACCTCTGAAGTGTCAACATACAGTCACAACTGCCCTCATTTGAGTCAATAAAAAAACATTGATTATTTCCTTTTTCACGTTAGTTCAGCAAAACTGGCAAATGTTTGAGGCTGACACCCTGCATTTCTGCGGGAGATTCATTCATGCCCATTTGTCTGCAACGTGAGTATTTGCTCTGGAGAACTGCTCCAACCCTGCATTTCAACCATGCAGAGAAGTATGAAGAGCAACTAAAGAATCAAGTGCTTCTTGCACATTAGTGGCTTCATAGGATCTGCGTGGACATCTTGGCAAGCAGAAGCCTTCCCTCCCTATGGCTGCTTTCCTATTTACACTAAAGGAAAGAATAAAAAGCCCAACAGATCTATCAAAAGGAAAYGGAAAGAAAAACAAGTAACATTTTAAAAACTGTATTTCCCTGCAGTCCTGCTAATCTCAAAATGGAAAGACTGTCATTTGTAAATGCAACTTACTTCTAATCTATAAAATTCTGTATTTCCCTTGCATGGATCACTTACTTTGATTAAGGCAAAATTATGCTACCCAATGGAGAGAGCTGTAACTCCACCACATGGAGCTGGAGAGGAAAAACACCTTCTTGGGCTTATCCTGTTATGGTCGCTGAAATAGTCTCATAAATTTAAAAACAGACTTTTAAGTTTAACATGCTTCCATAACTCTGTCCTATGCAAAGTTTAAGATTTATTTTTTATTTGAAGCTGTAATTTAAAGTTTGGGATTCTTCTTATCAGTTCTACAGTGCCCCCACATAACATGGCAAAAATATCAAGGCCCATTTATTTTATAATTTATTATCATTTCAGTTATAAAGGGAACATAAATAATAACAGTTTATTGCTGTACCACAGTACATCATTGTCAAGATGAAATGTTTTGCAAGCATTTTTTCTTCTTGATCTCCCTCATATACTTTAATTTAGAGATTAAAAATGGAAGGAAAAGATGAAGTCAGAAATAGCCCATCATTAAGGGCACCTCATTTGAAATCTCTGGGTCTAGATTTTTCACATTAGAAACTTCAGATCCATTGTGCAGGCAACTACTGTTTGAGYTGATGGACTAACTGATAGTAGCAGATGGCTTTAAATATGCACAGGACATGATTTCACCAGATTCCATGGAAAGCTCCTCTATTTCACAGAGTTTAGACATTTGGTTTGTGATTCATTTGGACCAGAAAAGAGAATTGCAAGCACTTTTCTATATCTATTAGACTAAAACAGAATTTTAACTGCTAAAATATAAAAAAAAAAGTGAGGCTGGTGATTAAAGGAGACAGAATAACATAGTTAAATTCAATAGTTCCATTTTTGAACCTTCAAATCATGTGGGAACAAATGAAGAGCAGAGGATCCTTCAGAAATTCCATGAACAACTAATYACTCTTTTAACCAATACTAATTTAGCTTATATTTAACTTACGTCAACTTTAACTTATATTTAACTTTACGTCAGCTCTAAAAAATATACTTTTTTCAGTAATTGTTGTACGAGAGTGGTAGCCAGGGAAAACAATCCTAAAGATATCTGCTTGAACTAAAATAAACAGGTAGAATATTTTCACAATTTGAACAAGCTTGTTCAACTTGTATATATATATATATATACACTATATGGTTGAAAGTCATGAAAGTATATGACTGAAATTTCTGTCTGAAAATAAATCACAAAGTTATTTTTTACATAGACAACACTTAGCATTTGCAACTTCCTGATCTAATGCACAATTTTTTTAGCAAGAAACATGGGAAAATGTTTTTTAAACAAGTTGGTAGGTTTACTTATAAAGTAATTATACTTACAGTTGTGTCATTCTTTTACTGAATCTACTTTATTATCCAGCTAATGGATTTTTTCATGTTCAAACACTCAAATAATCCTAGACTTAGAACATTTTGAAAATAATAAAACATACCTTGTTTAGCTTTACAAAATATTCCAGTCCAGCTTCCAAGGGGTTAGTGTCACAGTTCATCTGTTAAAAAATACAAGTTCACCRTCCATATGTGATGGACCATCATAGCTTTTGGGCTGGGGTGTTTATTTTTTCATTCTATACATCATTCTATTTACTCCTGTGTCCAAGTCTTCCCCACTGTGTATGCCCAACTTCCATCTGAATACACTGCAAGCTTCCAATATGGGATTTAAACAGTGTATCTACTACCACGCCTAACATAACATATAGATTTGTAAATCAGTCATCTAAGTTTCCATATGCATAGAAAGCACATTTCAGTAAGAAACAGAATTTTTCAGTGGAGTGGAACCTCAGAAGACTGAATAGCTGAGCTACGCACACAATTWACAACAGAGCAGAGTGGCTTAACTGAAGAGGGGAATAAAGCACAAAGCCACTTGCATTCATCASCCTCCCATTAYGTGTAGAGGGGATAATTTGTTACAYAGAACTTGAAGAAAGAATGAAAATAATTAGAACAGGGCAAACCAAAGGATCTGTAAATTCCTGCCATTTCACCCTCTTGAGTTCTTTCATTTCCCAAGGAATTAGGAAAAAWTTCAGGTAAAATGAAATTATACTGATTTCCTCAAAATTCTCTAGGCCCCTGAGTAGTTCTTCATTGCGAGTGAGCAAATTCTGCAGGAATAAGGTAATGGGAAAAGAAAAAGTTGCAAATACATTATGAAGCAAAAATAATTGGCTTCTTATGACATAGTTATTACAGAAATAAAACATTTTAAGAACCTGCCAGCCAAACCTTTGATTTTAAAACACTAGAGCACAGCAAAACCCTCATAATTTTGTTATACACAAGAGGGAAAACCAACCGTGAATCAAAATAAGTGTTTCTTTGCCAGGAATGCAATGTAGTATACCAGTTGTTTTTATTCAGAAAATCACAAGAAGAATTATAGCAGCTTTTCCTGCTTGAGGAAAATTTTCTTTTCTTGCTAAACTGAGAAACTTGTACAAATAAGAGCTGTGTTAACTACAACTAAAAGCTTCATAGTCATAATGAAATAAAATAAAATTAAATTTAAAAAGTCCACCAATGCAACACTCTCCCACCCTCCAAAAAAAGCCAAACACATCCATAAAGAATAATAAAGRATTTGTGTTTCCTGACCTCTGCTCCCCAGGCTCGGAAACCCTTTTCCAGCCTTAATGCATTTAGAGCATACGTTCCAAAGTCATCAATTCCCTCTTTTTGGCCAGCCTCCATGATTGCATTGTAAAGAGGTACAGAATCTTCTTTTCTGTGGTAGAGCTCCCAGCCCAATTCACCTGTTACACAAACAAAATTAATATTTGCAGCCATTCAATGAAATGATCCTAATAAATACTCTAGTTCCCTTGGTCAAAAGTGAGGATCAAAATGTTAATTCACACTCTACAGTCAATGCTATCATATAGCAAGCCTAATTCCCAGCAAGAACTAGCAGAGGATTTGTGCCCTGCATCTTATGCAGTGTTACTATTATTCTAAATTAAACTGTTAACTGTGGGTAAAAAAAAAWAAAMAYCAAACTAACTGATAAGAAAAGGTCAACAAAGTCAAAATGATAAATTAAAGACATTATAAACAGATGATGACTTGGCAAGTGAGCAGCAAATATAACAGAGTGTAAATAAAAATGAGTGTGCCGTATCATATTTAGCACAACAGAACGAGGATATGAATTACAAGGACTTAGCTGCTTTAGAATGCTCTGAACTCAGTCTATTACACTCAAAATTGATGTAAAAAGAAATAAAAATAAGTAAACGGGAAAGCCAAATACTAAGCACTACAGCTTCTTATTTTCAAGGCACATTACAAACACTAATATACRGTAATCCAAAGCCAATTCTTGACGTTGGTTTTGCAGCAAATACCAAAGAGGTTATCAGAACTGGCCTTTTGTTCTGCAAAACAAATATTTACACTATAGGGTATTTCCAGAGAAAAAYTCAGCACAGACCCTGATCATATCACATTTGAAAATCAATGTACCATGATTCCTCCCACACTTCTATGTAAAATATAACAAACCTACTTCTTATGAAAACGTGATGAGACTTACTTTTCAACACAATTTTAGTGACATTTATTATTTTGTTCATTGCCTCTTTCCTAAAGTGTATGTTTTTTCTGTTGCTTACCTGTGTAAGATATCCTAATGGCAGTAACAGCAATATTGGAAAGTTTCAGWCGTCTACACTGGAGAAACTTAAATGAACTGTCACTTAGATCTTCATTTGTCAACTTCTGGAGGACCTGTCGTGCATATGGACCTGCTACACTAAGTACTCCCATTTCATCTGTCATGTTTTCTATTTCAACTTTGTATCCGCCTCTTGTTACTTTCTCTTCTATCCATCTGCACACAAAACACAACACCAACGTTACACTTCTTTTGAAAAATAACTGACTTTAATAAGATAAGGAGTTATTTTTTTGTAATATTAATTTCCCCAGCAGCTCCCAGTCCCACACTCTCAAGACCAGCAAAATGGTGTACTAGATTAGATAGACAAACATCAGAGTTTTCTGGTGAGATACTGGTACAGGAACACAAGCCTATGAGATACAGCCAGGAAAGAACAGAATTTAAGTGGGTAGGAYAGCATTTTCAAGGTAAGAGAAAGAAGTGATCTCCTAAAATGACAACAGATTAGGTTTTGGATCTAGAATGTGTTAATAAAAACACACAAAAAGAGTAAGGAATAAGCTCAATGAACATAAAAAAATCTCAAATTTCTGTGACAACGTAAATGTACAAGCAGGTTTGTTCTTTCCTGAATACAGCATTCAAAATATTGGCAGCGAGTTCTGTTTGGATTTAATCAAAAACTACAGCTACAAATTACCTTTCAGGAAGCTCAGAAAATAARTAACATGGGTATATTTAAAAATTTTATGGAGTACTGCATTGTTAAGCAGTGTTGTAGGATCTCAAGCACAGGCGAGTACCAAACAGAACTGCAGAAAATCTGCAGAATTAAATGCATTAGATCTGGCTCTGCCATTTGGTTCCTGAATATGCCAATGTTCCTACTGATTCCTGCAGGAGTGTTATGAAACAGGACATTATTCTTTGCCTGTTAGGGTAGTARATTTCAGTCCTTTATGTGTTGATTCATTTTGATTAACTGATTTGCCAGCAACCTCCAGTATGAAGAGCACTAAAAATGTCAATTCCAATGCTCATGTATGAAAAATAATTTAGTGAAGTCACCCTGCAACTGATTTTTTTCTTTT